GAAATCTTCCTACATATTACTTGATTAACATCTGAAGGAAGAGGGAGAGTGAAGGGAGAATGAAATTAGAAGGAATAGCTGGAACAACGGCTCTGAAGAGCCAAAGTGCTTGAGCTTTATGAACTACAAGCAGCTTATAGGATTGGGGCAGAAGGAATGTGGGCATGGTGGAAGGAGGCCAGGCAGAGAAGAGGGGGCAGATGATGCAGGACTTCAAAGGCCCAGGAAGGATTTAGATACTCATGTTCTGGCTGACTGTTCCAGAGAGTCTTCTACCCTTTTTCTCTTTTCCTCATTCTAAATCATTTCTAAGTAGAAATACTGATGGATGTCTTACCTAATACCAATAAGGTATTAGTCACTCAATCAAAAAACCTTTATTGAGCCTTCACTGCTAAGATTCTGGAGATGAATGTGTCTTGGTCCCATCTTTAAGAGCCTATGGCCTGGTGCTTGTTCAAGGCTTCTTAGGGAAGTTGCATTGTTAAGTTAGGTTGAAATAAACAGCCATCCTAATTTGATCATCATAGAACCAATTTGCGAGAGTAGGAATTTTCCACTGGAACCTATCAGAGGTCACTTCTACCCGTTCCCTTGGAATTCACTTACATAATAGACCATTGCTAAGTCTTGCCTTCAGGGTAGAGGGAGGATCAATTCATTCAGCGAACATGTGAGTGCCTCTTGTATGTCAGCACCCTCTGTGGGCACTGGGGATAAATTGTGACTAGAATTAGCGCATGCCCTTGAGTTTGTAGGGTTTTACTGAGAGACAGACAATACACAGTTATCAGTGTGGTGGTAAGAATGGGTGATAAGGGGGACCTGGGGGAGCTTTCTGTGGACATATTGTTCCCTCTCTATCCCAGAAATGAGGAACAATTATGCAGGTACAGAGTTAGGACTTGGATAACTTCAGGAAAGTTTAGGAATTCGCAGGCAGAAGAGCATAAGCAAGGGGCCCTTGGAGGAACTGTGTGCCCTCTTATTTGTTGCACTTTTATTTGTGGAAGGTGAGGCACATCTGAGAAACCCAGGATTCATTCACAGATTGAAGAATTAAGGAGGGACCTTGCAGATCAGACCAAGTGGTTTGAGTCTGTTCTGAGAGCAACTCAGAGTTGTTAACAGCTTTCAAGCAAAAGTGGGTGTACTGATAAGACTGGAATGTTAGAAAGCAAAGTCAGGGAGTGCGGAGGAGGGCAGGAAGGAGCTCGGGGAAAAAAAATTAACAGACACAAGAATGCAAAGTTATCTG